ATTATCTCTCTCTTATATTTGAAGACATTGATGAGTGCAGCGATGACGTACATAATTGCGATGTTAATGCGGACTGTACCAATACTGAGGGTTCTCACAATTGCACCTGCAAGAAAGGATACACTGGAGATGGAAAGTCGTGCCAAGGTCGGTACATTAGACCAGCCCTAGATGATTCAGAATCTGAACAGGTTTCGTCTCTATTAAGATGGTTCTCGTATATAATTCGTGTTTACAGATATCGATGAATGTGAAGATAGTGACCATGCTTGTGATGCTAATGCGAACTGTACCAACGCCAATGGATCCCATTATTGTACCTGTAAGGAAAGATATACTGGGAATGGACAATCATGCCAAGGTGCTTTAGATTAGACTTAGCTATCAATCGAAACAACTCTTCACTTTAGCTTATTGGGTGTCCCCAATTAGTGCTTACAGGCACTAGAACGACTAGACACGTTAATAAAGGTTATGTATGTATGTATGTATGTATATATGTATGTATGTATGTATGTATGTATGTATACCTTAGTGACTCAGAATCTGAACAGCTTTTATTGCTTTTATCAAGATGCACCTATAAATAGTTTTTGTTCACAGATATTGATGAGTGCAAAGATGGCAGCCATGTGCGTGATATTAATGCAAACTGTACCAATACTGAGGGTTCTCGCAATTGCACCTGTAAGGAAGGATACAATGGAGATGGAAAGTCATGCCAAGGTACATCAGATCAGCCTTAGCAGCAAGCAAAACATCTTTTCGCATAAGCTAATGCCTTGATAACTCAGAATTACAACAGATTTTCTCTCTAATTAAGATGCTTCTCGTATATACTTTGTGTTTACAGATATCGATGAATGTAAAGATGATGACCATGCTTGTGATGCTAATGCCAACTGTATCAACACCGATGGATCCCATCATTGTATCTGTAAGGAAAGATATACTGGGAGTGGAGAATCATGCCAAGGTACTTTAGATTAGACTTAGCTATTAATCGAAACAACTCTTCACTTTAGCTTATACCTTAGTGACTCAGAATCTGAACAGCTTTTATTGTATTTATCAAGATGCACCAATAAATAATTTTTGTTCACAGATATTGATGAGTGCAAAGATGGCAGCCATGTGTGTAATATGAATGCAAACTGTACCAATTCTGAGGGTTCGCACAATTGTAACTGTAAGGAAGGATATATTGGAGATGGAAAGTCATGCCAAGGTACATTAGATCATCCTTAGAAGCAAGCAAAACATCTTTTCGCATAAGCTAATGCCTTGATAAATTAGAATTTGAACAGAATTTTTCCCTATTTAAGATACTTCTCGTATATAATTTATGTTTACAGACATCGATGAATGTAAAGATGGTAGCCATGCCTGTGATGGCAATACGAACTGTACCAACACCAATGGATCCCATCATTGCAGCTGTAAGCACGGATACAAAGGTGATGGGCAATCATGCCAAGGTAAATAAGACTAGCCTTAGCATAAAACTATGCCATATTTTCACATCAGCTAATATCCTGGTGACTCGGGATATGAACAATTTTTCTTCTCTTTCATTAAGTCTCTCGTTTAATTACAATTTTTTTTCACAGACATTAATGAGTGCATAGATGGCGGCCTTGAGTGTGATGTTAACCCAAACTGTACCAATACTGAAGGTTCTCACAATTGTAACTGTAAGGAAGGATACATTGGAGATGGAAAGTCATGTCAAGGTGTTATGTATTGAGAAACAACATACTAGTTCGGTGGTTGAACTCAATATTTTATTACCCATGAATCCCATGACTTATAACGTCATATATGTCATACACACCATTCCCCCACACTAAAAATTGAACTAACAGGTTTAACAATAAAGCTATATAACTGAAAGAGCCAAAAAACTAAATGTCTATAGTCACTTCATTTAAAGTCAAATTCAAACGAGGAATGTTTCTAAATCATTCTCATGCTAGCTCAAACAATGTCATTTTGCAAGATAGTCTTTCATCCATACTGGACTTTTTCTGTTCCTCACTGGTCTTGATTCTCGTAATTCGGGATCTTGCATGACTGGAGCTTGAGTGTTGGGGTTTTCGTTGCTCTTTACATCATCAGGGGTTCTGTTCTGACTCTCTGGGATAACTTGTGATGTGTTGACATCAGGAGTATCAACTGTCGAAGGCATATTTGTCTATGACTCTTGGTAGCTCTCTTGAGAAACCTGTGGTTCAGTAGTTGTCATGGTAACATGAGTACTTGGTAGTTCAGATCTTCTTAATTGATCGAGATGATGACGCCAAGTTGAAGTACCAACTTGTACTTGGTATGATACTGGACCGGTTTGTTTTGATACGATACCTTTGGACCAGAGATTACCTCTTCCATAATTTCTGACTAGAACAGGTGTACCAATGTTGAAATGACGCATTTGTTTGGATGGTGGTGCTGCGACAAAAGAGTTTTCAACTGTACGGGTTATGTCTGGTTTTAATAGATCCAGACGACAGCGTAAAGGGTGTCCCATCAGCATGACAGCTGTAGAATTACCAGTTGTAGTGTGTGGACAATTGCGGTACTTCATAAGGAAAGTGTGAAGTTTGTACCTGAGACTTGCATTGCTTTTGTCACTCTTCAAAGCTTCCTTCATTGTCCTTACAAAGCATTCAGCCAATCCATTTGTTCTTGGATGGTAAGTGGCTGAAGTAAGATGCTGTATTCCATTCATCTTTAGAGAGGTTTCAAATTCTTTTGACCTGAGTTGTTAGCCATTGTCAGAAACAATTTGAGTTGGCAGACCAGGTGCGACAATTATGGTTCTCAGCACTTCAATTGTTTTGGAAGATGTTGTTGATGACCTGATGTGAACTTCTGGCCATTTTGAGTGTGCGTCGACTGCTACAAGAAACATAGAGTTCATAAAGGGTTCTGCGAAGTCTATGTGGACTCGGTACCAGGGTTTTTCTGGAAATTCCCATCTATGTACTGGAGCAGCAGGAGGATTGTTTTGTGTAAGTGCACAACCTTCGCAGGTTCTGCATGTGCTTTGAATTTGAGAATAAAACGTTCCTCAAGAATGTTAGAAATTTCATCTAGAGACTTATCCTTGGGCTTTTCCGGGTAAACAAGGTTTCGTTGAATGCCATACGTCGATGGACCTATTACCGCGAATAAACATGCCACTTGTCGCTCTGGCGCGATGTTCTTGATTAAGGTGAATTTCTCGAATCGTTCGAAGTAGCGCTCCCAATTTTCTTTGCTTGGATCGAAATTATCCAGTTGGCCAACAGTTGTGGTCATTTGTGTAGGAATTTGTGGTGTAGATCCACCAGGTTGATCGGATTCCGGCATTTTCCTGTATCGGTCGAAGAGCACGTGGCTGTTGTAAACGATGACTGAACTATTTTAGGAGGGATTTGACCGAATTACGTAGAAATTTGGACGACTTGATTAGAAAATTTACTTCCTATTTCCAAAGGAATGAATTTTAAAAACCTATTTAGGCATTTGGGCATCAAAATCCTCGTCGCCAATTATGTTATGTACTGAGACACAACATTCTAGTTCGGTGGTTGAACTCAATGATAATTTATTACCCATGAATCCCATGACTCATTACGTCATATATGTCATACACATCACAAGGTAACCTTGGATCAGCCTTAGCAGCAAGCAAAGCGACTTTTCACACTAACTGTGCCTTGACGGCTCAGAATCTAAACAGGTTTTCATCTGTATTAACATTTTTTTCGTAAATAATTTGTGTTCACAGATTTCGATGAATGTGACGATGTCAGCCATGCTTGTAATGTTAATGCGAACTGTACCAACACTAGTGGTTCTTATCATTGCACCTGTAAGGAAGGATACACTGGAGATAGACAGTCATGCCAAGGTACCTTAAATCAGCCTCTAGATTCAAGCAGAGCAATGTTTCCCAATATCAGTATGTTATGGTATAATTTAACCGAAAGAGAAAATGCTGCACTCCTACAAAACCAACTTATTTGTTAAGCAATGAGAAATAACTTTTACTGAGGTGCGACTTCTTTTGGCAGTACAATTTTAATCCTTCAAAACCTTACTTGGGCATACTGCAGACTTTAACTGAGTTAATCACCAGCGCAAACTCACTGTTGTCTCTAAAACTTTTTGAAATCCACAACCTTCGAGGTATTTCCCACTTACTGTAGCTCTCTCTTAGTATGTCTTTCCAGATAGTCGGTTTTTGCAGACAACGGAAAAAACTACCCCTAGATGACTGAATTTTTTATGTACAACTACAACATACTCTGGAACATATCAGAAGCTTAAAACACAGCTATTGTGGTAAAATTTCATCATTATTACATAACCTAATAGATTTTTCCAGAACGTTCCGCGCACTTTGTCATTAGAAAGTTCGAGTATCCATATCGCCGTGACTAAGCATTCTAGAAAATTTACAGTCACTATCTATAAAAAATAGGCTTCGTGACTACGTTCATGTCCGAGTGAAACCTGAATTGCATTCACATCCAAATTTTGCATATTCATTAAATTATGGTTTACGGATTACTCGTGCTCCCAGATATCGATGAATGAAGCGATGAATACCAAGGTTGTGACGTAAATGCGAACTGTACCAACTCTGATGGTTCTCACAACTGAGCGTAGTCACGAAGCTTATTTTTTATAGATAGTGACGCATTTACGTCACAATCTTGGTATCCATTGCTGCATTAGTCATAGTCATCGTCATCGTCATCGATATCTGGGAGCACGAAGGAAAGGGAACGAAGTAAAATTCTCTTAGGTTATGTAGACATGAGCGTAGTCACGAAGCCTATTTTTTTAGATAGTGACTGTAAATTTTCTAGAATGCTTAGACACGGCGATATGGATACTCGAACTTTCTAATGGGATACACTGGAGACGGACAGTCATGCCAAGGTACCTTAAGTCAGCCTCTAGATTCAAGCAAAACAGTTTTTCACAATATCAGTATGTTATGGTGTATTTTAACCGAAAGAGAAACTACTACACTCCTACGAACCCAGCTACTTTTTTAAGCAATGAGAAATAACTCTTACTGAGCGACTTCTATTAGCAGTACAATCTTAATCCTTCAAAACCTTACTTGGACATATTGCAGTTTATCACTGACACAAACTCACTGTTGTCTCTAAATCTCCTTGGAATCCACAATCTTAGCGGTATTTCACAGTTACTGTAGCTCTCTCAGTATGGCTTTCCAGACTGTCGGTTTTTGCCGACAACAGAAAAAACAACCCTAAGATGGGGGAGTCTTCATATACATTTACAACGTATTCTTGAGCATTCAGAAGCTTTCAACACAACTGTTTTGGTAGAATAACATTAATATTACATAACCTAAGAGAATTTTCTGAGACATTTTGCGGTTTGTCATTAAAAAGTTCAAGCATCTATGTCACCGTGACTAAGCATTCTAGAAATTTTTCGGAAACCACTGTATACAGTCACTATCTATAAAAAATAGGCTTCGTAACTAACCTCATGTCCAAGTGAAAGCTGAATTGGCTTCACATCCAAATTGTGCATCTTCATGAAATTGTGGCTTATGCATTACTCATGCTCCCAGATATCGATGACGATGACGATGACTATGACTAATGCAGCAATGGATGCCAAGATTGTGACGTAAATGCGAACAGTACAAACACCGATGGCTCTCATGACTGTACCTGTAAGGAAGGATACACTGGAGACGGACGGTCATGTCAACATGGTGCACGGTGTATTTGAGATTAGATGTAGCATCAAACAAAGCTAGTTTTATCAACGCCCTATAGCCTAATCTTTAATTGCAAAGCAAGGACTGATGAATTATCGATCATATTTTCAAACACGGGAAGGGAACGAAGTAAAAAGAAGGTCGAATATTCATGAAAAGAAATCATGCGACGCAAATACTTCCCGTGTTTATGCAATGTATCCAACATAGAGTTCATTAGTGTTGGACTGAGCCTATGCCCATAGGCTGCAAATTTAAATTAAGTAAACTAAGTTCGGCTGCTGTAATGCCATTATATAGGAAAGTTGTAAAGAATGCAGGATATAAAGCTTGGGTTCTCGAATAAAAGACGTCAAAAAGACTTGGTGCATTTTGGTGCGAGATGCCTGACATTAGGAGCTTAAGAACGCCCATCTTTCTTCCTTCGCCTCCACACAGGACGCTCACGAAATTTCTGAAACTAGTAGTCTGGGGAAAAATGTCAAGTCTTTACCATCTCACTCTACTAATTATGTTCTCTTTTAGACATAAGTTCAGTAAAGCGCATGTTAAACATTACCAAAAAATGTAGGGAGTTGAAACATGGCATTTCGGAGACGACATGTCATCATAATCAAATGCAAATTATAGTAAGTTCAGTAACGTTATATAACAAGAAAGTGTGAAAATACATATTAATGAGGCGAAAATAAACAAAAAGAATGAACATAACTAAACATTTTAATTAAAAAGTTTCGCTGGCATGGAGTCTTTTTGAGTGTTAAGAGTCGGTCTCTTTTTCTTTATGAAAAGCATCTCATAAAGTGGCACTAAAACGAGGTCATAAGGGCCAAGTTTGCTTGTCCTGTAAACAAAATGTCGCAAAACTGCTGTGTTACGAATTGTAAGAAAAAGGTTTATCGGGAGGAAGACTTAAAGATATCTTTCCACAAATTTATGAAAAATGAAGACCTATTAGCAGCATGGATTCGAGCTGTTCGAAGAGATGTGGATCACCACTTTAGGATATCTTCGCACACGAGGGTTTGCTCGAGACACTTCAAGGATTCAGATTTTCAGGGCACACTCGCTGGCAGAGGAACACTTCATCCTACCGCTGTTCCTTCCATTTTTTCGTGGAAGAAAGATTCTCCTAAGAGGCGAAAACCACCAAAACCCCGGTATGTAGTCTCTAAAGCGGGGCCTCAAGTTGCCAACGAAGAACTCGAGGTAAATAGTACAATCTTAAATGTTGACAAGGTTGCCGACGAAAAGCTCGAAGTAAATACATGTAATACTAGCTTAAACGTTGACGAGGTATGCAAAGTCCTTGAGGTCGTTGCTTACATATTCCTCTAACCTGAAATAAAAGAATCCAAATCATAACTCTGCATAACGCACACGGCAAACGATCCTAAATATTCAATACGTCTTACCTTTTTACTAGCTGGGCTTTAGCTGACAGACCTTTGAACGAGTCGCCGCGACAGCGCAACCAAAACTGCAATTTGGAGTTCTTCAGTCTTGAGGGTTTTCTTCCAGCAAGCGAACTTCCCGGAATATCTTCTTCGGTTAGTAAACAGGGTCCATATAAAGCATTTGCCATATTTTCTCTTCTTGACCGGAAAGGTACGTTACTAAATGATGCGTTTAATGATCACTTCTCAGTCAAAACTGTAAAATTTCTTAGGTTTGGCCTTTATGACTTCGTTTTCGTGCCACTTGCCCCAGATTTTACCAGTTGGTGGCCATTTTGGAATAAGGTCTATTACATTGAAATTCATACACAACGCATTGTTCGTTAACCAGTGAGGCTTTGTTTCCGTGACTTTCAATTCTTCAGAGATTTTCCTACTTGTGAAAACTGGTTGTAATACACGATCGATTTTCTTTTCAAGGTCGCTTAGTTGCCTACGTACGGAGTCGGCGGATTTCTGATCTTCAAAAGGCAAGGTAATTCGGTATTAGATACGTATGATGCACGATCCTCGCAGTAGATAGCGCTATCATATATTTATTCTATCTCATTTATCACTTTCACGGGTTTATTACGAGCCAACTTAACGGCCTGCTCCCAGTTGGCTTGTTAGCTCAATTGGTAGAGCGCTGCACTAGTATCGCAGAGGTCAGTGGTTCGAGTCCCGTACAGGCCTGATTTTTTTCAGGTCTGATTTTCGCTATTGCATAAATAGCGCTATCTACTGCGAGGATCGCGCATCATACGTGAAAAGATAAGCTGTTGTTAACCGCTGTTTCCATTGTAAATTGATAGCTGGATGTGTATCATTCAGAACTGAAAGGAAGTCAGTAGAAGCGGCAAGGTTAGGAACTGGGGCAAAGGTATCATCGACGTATCTTTTGTAGAAATTGCGAAGCTTGTTTTTATGAGCAAGTTTCTCCTCAATGGAGCACACAAAGGTGTTTGCCATTAGTGGTCCTAATGGTGAGCCCATTACAACGCCGTCTATTTGCTCAGATAAGTCGCCGTTAAACTGGAAAAGCTGGTCTTTGGTTGCACTTGTAAGAAGTTTGATCAGGTCTCCTTCACAGATGTTAAGGTTGTGTGTGTTGTTAAACCAGTTCCCATTTAATGCTTTCTTTGCCAAAATCAGGATGGTTTCTTTTAACGGTACGTTGGTGAAAAGGGCTGTGACGTCCAACGACACTAGGAAGTCATTCTCATCGATTTGCAAATGTTGGATCTCTTCGAAGAATTGAAAGATGTCAGATATCGTGTACTCATTGATCGATAACGGTTTCAACTTCTCGTCCAGCCACTTTGCCAGGCTAGTCAGTAGATGAACCGCTGGCGCGAATATTCCCCTGACTCCCCTCCCACATGAGGCATTTGTAATCGGGCATTGTTTAGCATCATCCAATCAGCGTGGGGCAAACAGCGTGACGGTTGCTCCTTGGCGCACGAAATCGGGGCCGCGGATGCTGATCGCTTCAAAAGCTGCATTTCTCGAAATTTGTTTGGCGGTTAGCGCTTGGATTTTGAATGGATCTTCGATTTAATGCGACGAGAAGAGGCGTCAACCTTTCAGTTTATCTGGTTTTTGATTTGGAAGCCGGGCGATTCTTATTTCTGGGTGAAAATCGGCTTCGCGCTAGAGCGGTCGAAAATGAGCTTTCCGCCCTCGTCTCCTTCTTATAACGTATAGTAACAGTCGACGCAAAACCCACCAAATCGCTCCAATTCGCCATTTAGATCCACAGGAACGACAATACACAGCAAGTGAGGCAGGTTTACATTTATTTTGAGCTTTAACTCAGACATTTCATGATTTAAGTTTACGATAATAAGACTCTTCAATATTCTCCCATACATTCCTTTATATTTCGAATAAACAACTAGACTCGTCGCTTGTCTGGGCTCCCTGTGGTTCTCTATGGGTCTTGAGGAGACCGTACAAATGGGCTAGTCTTGAGCCTTTCTTGCAGACAGAATCTGCTATTTCCTTGGGAAGGATTCTTATGACAACCGATTCAACTGAGGTGCTTTTCTTTCACGAATAAAGGGTGGTAGCATTTTGGAGGTCTTCCTCTCGTCGCCTTAATTACCAACTCAAAAGTCACTGTTACTCTTGATTTTATGAAGGTGTAGTCTGATCGTCCGGGTGAGTGTAGTCCTGAGAAGGACTGTTGTCGGTGGCAGTGACTGGCGTATTGACAACCTGTGCGGAAGTCATCATCAGAGTCAAGTGAATGATTGTTGTCAGTAGAATGTTCTTATTCCAGTTCTGTACTGACAACAATCATTCACTTGACTCTGATGATGACTTCCGCACAGGTTGTCGAAACGTCAGTCACTGCCACCGACAACAGTCCTTCTCAGGACTACACTCACCCGGACGATCAGACTACACCTTCACATGTTACCCCCGGGTTCAAACCATTTACTGCATCTTGATTTTATGTCAACTTAAAACATCATTTGGCAGTTTTGATTTTGGACAGAGGGGAGGTGATTAGGGCATTTGTCCTCGTTTTTGAGTGTCAAAGTTTTGGAGTAAATTATATATCATTAAGACTCTAAGCAACTCTCCGTAGAACTCAAGAAACTTCAGTGAAAAGTCTCTATACCCTGGATAGTTTTTAAGGCTATATGCATGTAATAATCCAATGAACAATGGTCAAAGTTATTAATACCATTTTTATTACTCCGCACATGTTAGTAGGTTTTCAGCTTGGTGAAAACTGTTTTACTGTTCTTTCAAGAGTACTCGTAATGGTGGATATCAAATCTTACTCGCCCATATGAACATTTTTTCTCAGTTACCCGGATGATTTTTTTTCAACTACGCTTGTTAACGATTAAGCCGCTGGCGGAGCGCGACCTCAGAAGACGTGGTCAAAAATGGTAGCAAGTGAGCAGATTTCTTCTCCCTCGAGATCGAAAAGATTCCGTTGATGAAACGATGTGATCAGCAGCTTGATTGACTGTTTGAATGGCTACAAATCTAAAATAGAATGTAGTATCCTTGATTTTGACAAGAAAACAAATCCAATACCAGGAATTGCGAGTGATGATGGCGAAGCTGAATGCAATAATAATTTTGAGCGGGTTGAAATTGCTCATATGAACCCACGACAAAACTCATCGCAATGAATGGGCCAGCTCGGTAAACCTGGCTTATGTGAAGAGGCCCTTAGTAGATATAATGTAAATATTGCAGTGCAGGTTACTTTATTATTTCACCGCTAGTTATATATGGAATATAAGCAGAACTAGTTACATTGTATGAATATTTTTATTACTGATGACTACGAGTAGAAATTGCATGAACAATACCGCGTAGGTGATGAGTTTCTGTGAAATACTTTGACACTAACTGTCACGGGTTTTAATGTAGTAATAAGCTCGGATATTAGTGAATTAGATAGCTTAGATTTGTCCGGTGTTGAAAATTCATTTTTGCGTACATAATTCAGAGTACGTATCTGCTTGCTGTCAAATACTGATGTCTCATTAGTTGTCCGCCTGCTGTTACCTGCATTTGCGCTTGATTTTATTGACTCTTAGTCCGGCACCAATATCACAAAGTTTACCACCTCAAGGTTACCTAAATTCATTTAATTTCAATAAATATTATTATCATCTCTGAGCTCATACAGTAATTACTGACTTTATCTCTGGTCAAATATGAGATGCGTTTCCAATCTCATCTTGAATGCAACTCATCTTAGTAACGAGCTTGTAAGTGACTATTGCCATTGCTAAGAGTATACTCTATCATTAATCATTGTTCACCACTAAATTTTCTCCGATTCTTATTGGTCTAAATTGATCACGTGACGCGATAGTGTTCATCCGTAGAGAGACACTATAAACCCATAGTGCCCGTCCGCGGAAAATACCCGGATGGATTGTACTTATCCGTGAAAAGTTTTGAATGGTTTGACGGCCGCGAAGTTAGGCAGATCTGACTGTCAGACTTTTCAATTCTGACAGGTATAACGTATTATTTAGCCAATGTACGGTTGCGAATTATTGACATTTGTGACAGATTGTACGCATGAATAAATATTTTATTGATCTGCATTTAGTGGGTTTTGACTGTTTTTCAACTGAAGGGCGGAAGAAAATTTAGTGGTGAACAATAAAGACCAATAGAGTGTTTATGTCTCGGAACTATCGCTCTGATAGTTGCTCCTTGGAAATTGATGTTCTTAAAACTGGCATATTTCCCCCGAAGCTTCGCCTCTTGGGCAGAGATTTTTTTTTTAGGAACATCAAATTTCCGCGGGGCAACTATCAGCCGATAGTTCTTCGACAGAAACACTCTAATTGTTTGAATGGAAAGCCTTACTTAGGACGCAATACTATCATGGGAAGGAGTGGGAGGGGACGCTGAAATTGCAACGGAAACCCCCTTATCCTTGTCATCCCAATGTCCGGATCCCCAACAGTGTCCGTTAGAGAGTCTATTGATTTAAATTTTGCATGCTACTAGATTCACTTGCATGACAAATAATGGAGGCTGTAACAATGACAAGGGAAATTCGGAAATTTACGATGTATCTGGTTCATGATCAGAAGGGAAAAAATGGTTCAATTTGGCTCATGCAGCTCCAATTCAAATGATTAGAGCTCCCAGTTATTGGCCATCATCACGCTTTCCAGAAAACTTATAACCGACATCTTTTCACAAAAGCCATCGCAAGCATTCCACCAAATTTTAAATACCTACAATCATTTTGATCAAAAGAAAACTAGAGAAAGGAGTGTAGTCCAACCTCTTTTGGGTAGATTCCAAGGTATTTTCACTGGGTATTCTGTAAGAGTATTATGAAGCAATTTTGCGAAGACATTTGAGCATGTTCTCAAAACTCAGACTTTTGAACTTCGGAAGAATTTTCCTTTTTAACCATAAATGAGAACCAGCAAAAGTCATAGCCACGCTCTTAAAATAGCATTTAATATTTTGGAAAAATCCCAGATACAAAATAAATGCTAGGACTGATTGCGAAGCGAAGGCAACTGCTTCCCTTAGAAGTTAATGTTGTTTATGAATGCAATAAAATAGTAATCTTTGGCAGTTTGGGAGCCTTCAGAAGATCTCCGCAAATTTGGAAATCCGCGGAAGTTTTTTGCAGCTTACAAATACTACACTCTCACAAATAATTAGTTGTAACACTCGCCCAGAACAGCTTTTATTTTCTTTCACCCCTCCTTCTCCTCCCCCTTTTCAATGTTGTTAATTGCTAATTTTTCTCATTAGCGATTGGAGGCATTTTTTCTATCCAATTGAGTTAACCGCCTCCCACCTCCCAGTTAGCTCAATTGGTTAGCGCGCCGGATTGTGTTGTGCGGGAGGTCGAGTTCGAGCCCCGGCCGGACCAATACTCATGATCTTAAAATAAGTGAGGAGAATTTGCTACCTTTCTATAATCTTCTCCGTGATAAGGACGAATAAACCGTAGGCCCCGTCCTTTGCAGGGTTAGGGGTAGGAGACGTTAATTTCCCACGCGCGAGATTACCGTGTGGTGGATGTCCTCCCTTGGGTGGGATGGGTGGTGTTGGCCCTGAAAAGCCCCTATGGGGAGCGGCCATATGTATGTATGTATGAAAGCATTTCCAAAAGTTTTCGGAAAGTTCCAGTGCTAGAACTTTCTGAAAACTTTTGAAAAGTATCATTGTGCATTTCGTGACAACTGAAACAAACACGGGCCAAGTTTACTTTCTTGCAAGTTGAAAAGGTAGTCTAAGTAGAAGCAGCTGACTTTCGTTTAACGGAATTTGTCCTCGCTTGCATAATAACTTAATGGTTCACGATAACGGCCTTAACAGAATTCGTTGCATTGATATGATTTCTAGCCTGATGTAATGGTTCTAGATTAGATTGGGTAGATTTTAAAAATAGTACATTGCGTATTTCGCAATAATGAGTTTTTATAGAAAAGTTAAGGACATTAAAGATCAACAGAGTCTGATAAAACTACAATATAGTTGAAGGTTTTTGGCCAATACCTCGATAATAAGGACAATACGTTCGAGGATTTTAAAAAGTATCCTACTCTTGGGCTAAAATAAATCATGTTAGGTCATTCAAGGTGAGTGAAACTGGCGACGACTTTATTCCCAGCATGCTTTGCAAAATAATAGTAAAAATAACAAAGATGGCTGACAGTTATTTCCAACACGACGGACATTCAAGGTCATGCTTCCTCCGATGCCCATAAATAGAGATTTTATTTGTGGTTTCGCACTATCCTGTGGATTTTTCCGTTGCTGTTGCCATCAGGAAGCCACTCGGTGCACAAGAGGATTCAGAGATTTCTTCGGATTACAACAGATTACAAATCGATAATCGATTTGTGCAAATTAAAGCTGTAACTTATTTCGTTTTCAACGGGTCAAGTGATCATGTCTTTAGTGGTGGCAGTTTCTTTGCTGTTGGCAGCCGTAGTGTTGATCTCTCTAGTACTGCTTGGAAGAAATCTATCTGCAGATCCAGTAAAGAAGGTGCCTGGCCCTAAGACATCCTTTTTATGTGGTAATGCTTTGCAGCTTCCAAGTCTACCGAATGGTAAGTGACACTGATCTGGTTAATGACTTATGTGAAGTAAAGTCATTTATTTTCCTAAAATAACTTGCCATCTTCTGTCAGACATATGACAACGTGGAATCTATTTGTTAATTTTCTATACATTGAATAGGAAATTAAGAAAATTACCAAACTGGCTTTTGCAGCGCCCTCTGTTCAAGTTGGCAAAGAAAACAGCTTGTGCACACCACCAGGCGTGATTAGTTAGTACAGGTCATCGCATGGCTTAGCTTGCAATTTGGAATAAAATACGGTATTTTTTACCAAGAGCCGCAAAATTGCCCAGGCCCTTTCACTTGGCAATTTTTAATCTGTAATCTTTGAATAAAAAAATGGCTGAGTAAGTCTACATGAAGTAAAAGTAAGGATTGCCAAATTGAAGTATAAATGAGGAAACAAATTTAGAAAGATTTCTATAGTTATATGAAAAGCAAAGTGCCCCAGATTAGAAGCAGAAAGCATGGTCATCAATTAAAATTGCTCCTTACCCTAAATTTATGGATGTTATAATTTACAGGATGAAGAAGCTCAATTTCGTCTAGAGTTCTTTTGCAAAACACTGTTTGGATTTCATTCAGTGATGCTCAAAGTAATCTTTACAGTAATGACTGATTTGATATTTATCTGTTCTTGCACTAAACTGGTGTGATAGACCTTGTGACCCGGATATTACAGTGGGCCAGCGAGTATCAGAATGGGATGTTATGTTTGTGGCTTGGGCCAACCTACCCTTTTATCTTTTTGTACAAACCTGAACTGGTGGAGGTTAGTGAGTCTTTGACATCTTTCATTTCATGTGATGTACACATGTATACCTGCAGGACTCCAAACTCACCTTTTTTCCTCAAAATATTTTCATGTATTTGTCAACCTTAAGGTCATAAATTGTTTAGCAGAATTAAAGCAATTGAAAATTTCCCTAAAAAAGAAAAGAAATAATAAATGAAACAACAAAAAACAAATATGCAGAAAATGTTATTACATTACATGTTGTATACACATAGCATTTATGGCATGTAATTATTTTGGACAGTTTATGTGACTTTTTTTGCAAAAATACTTGGAGGAAGAGGCAAATTTTTATGAGAAGGAAGGAACAAAATGTAAATGATTTGCAATTAAGAAATTTTTCTCACTTTCACCAAAGACCATAACAGGAACACTTGGAAATAAAATGCTAGATACAGCTATATGACAACCACACACAAATTGCCCAGTCAGTGGTTTCTACCATGCAACCAATTAAAGTAATTATAACCTCAATAACCATGATCAGATGTGGCAGGATAATTTGGCCATGGTTAATATCAGGGATCTGTCATGCCTTCACCAAACTCTTTTTTTTGTTTGTAATTTGGTGATATCAACTAAGCTGAAACTGTAAATTGGCGGCTGTAAAGAGTTAAAAATCTAACATTTTGAGCATTAGCACTTCGTCAGAGCGAATGACGAAGGACTAACACTCGAAACATCAGATTTTTAACTTATTACAGTGGCCAATTTACAATTTCAAATGCTTTGCCTGATTGTTTTTCCTTGTGCATGCATTGCCCCTAGTGATGCTTAAAAATTATTCTCAGGAAAAATTGGGGGGAACATAGTTTACTGACCCTTGAATTTACCTTTTGTAACTATTTGTCAAATAATTGTTTGTTTTGCCTTTTTTTGTTTAATTTTGTTCTTAAATTAACAGTACTTCCTTACTATTTAGCTAGTTTTACACAGCTCCAAACATATCAGCAAGTCTCCAGATTATGACTTTTTGCATCCTTGGTTAGGCACAGGTCAGTTTTACAGATTACATTGTAGCATTGTACTTCACTGCATTGCTGGTCAGTTTGGTCACAAATTACCTTTAAGGCTCTAAAGTATATGTATTCATGGGTTACAGTTGTTCTTTGCATGAAGGCTTCAATCAATTCAATCAATCAATTCTTTATTTGATAAAGCAGGTTAAAAATTTAAAAACTTACAAAGTAATAGTTGCATCGGCAGCTATCAGCTGATGTGGACCTGCTATGAAAGATTTGAGGAGCATGTGGAAATTGTAACTGAATAAAACAGGATTACCTATTTTATATGTTGTGCTTTTCCAATACTTTTCACTTGCCTTTCACATGCCTATGAAAGTTATCTGTGGGGCAAGTGTGAAAATTTGGTGAAGAAAAACATACCGAGATTCTACAATGATAATTAAAAGTGTTTGAGCATACTCAGATATGCATCTACTTNTTTGGTGTCAGATCAAGATAACAACTTCTACTTGATAAGTTTTATTAGTATAATTTCACAGCTGAGCAAAGAGTTTCCAGCAATCTGATTGGTCGAGCAGTCCCTTATAACCGCTCCGCGCGGTTTATATAAAATGTTAAACTAAAATGTTAATAAATGTTACTAAAATGTTATGATTTTAGAGATTTCTCTTTTGTTCAATTCTGAAATTATACTAAAACAATTATTCACCTCAGGTTCGTTGAATATTGTCGAATAATCCCCTCGACTTCATCTCAGGGATTATTCGACGATGTTCACCTCGCCTTCGGCGAATAATTGTTAAGTAATGTGAGTACCTGTTTGCTGGATATTACATGGATATTATAAGGAGGGGTTACAAGTCATGTCCATCACTTTTGGGAGTTAAAATGATAAATTGACACATAAATACATCCTCTCAGAAGATGCAAGGGTACTAAAACAGACAAGACAATGATTGAATGAGATTTGTTGTCTCCTTCTTGTCAACTTGTGTAGAAAAAAGTCAAGACAGGTACTTTCAACATAATGCCATACATTACTCTGTGTGCTCTGGATATTATATGCAGTAAGTACTCTGCGCTAGTCATTCATAGTCTAAGTTATGATGTTCATGTTTGTTATTGTTCATTATATCCCTTCCTTTCCCCAAGATGTATTCCTCTGATACCACATCACAGGATTACCCCTAACCCTAATGGTACTAAAGGATACTTGTCATTATTATTCTACAGTTGTGTAATACATGTGGAAATATTTTCTCTCACTTTTCAATTTTGTATTGTACAAGCAATTTACATATATTCACAATGGACAATTAAGCACAGGAAAAAATGGTTGACCAAATTGTAATTGAATTAAGTTTGGTCTGTGATTGGTTGAGAGACTGGTAGGTGCAATTTTCCTGACAGGAGCAAAGGGAAGCAAAACCAATGCAATCCTGGATTACCTTCAAAACTTAATTGAAAAATGCTCTAAAAGCAAAGAGTAAATCAATTCTTTGTCCTAATTCATAGTGATGCAGCAGGCCTTTGTCAAATCATAAAGCGCAATCCTTTCCACTCTAGCATCAGTATGCATAATTTATTCACCATACGGTTCTTCATATACCTCCCAGGTCACTGACAAGGACAATTTTGTTGACAATTAGAGCTCACTCTGATTGCCTTTATTTCCATGGCCTTAAAGTTTTATTCAGCAGTGATGTAATGTTACAAGAAACAAAATGCTTTTCACTTGCAAGGGTTATTAAGGGCAAGGGGAACTGGACCCAGGTTATCATGTTGTACAGTTCATGTGTCACAATACATAAGACGTACCCCTGGGGTCCTTTAATTTGTCCATCGCTTTTAACCAGTCCCTGATTATAGACAGTCATTTTTCTCAAGCCCATGCGTCATTATTTACAATCGTTTCTCACCTCCCTTTTAACAGTTACCTCCATGGACTCCTCACCAAATGCACAGGGAAATGTCAATTCTCCATATGTCAATGCAGTTGGAAGGTAACTGTTTCTGACTTAAATGAAGGTGAATTTAGTCCAGTCGGTTTTAATTGTCAAGTGGAATTATCAAGTAAAGGAAAATTGTTACCCTCTAATTCCTTAGCAAAGCAAACTTCTCAACGATTATTTTCAGTGCAAACTTTTCATACAAAAATGTCCCCTTCAAATATTGGTTCCGCAACAAATGTCCTCATCAAACCGTCTCATCGCCAAATTTCGCCTTTTAGAAATTTTTATCATAGTAGATTCCATGTTCAAGCCCGGGCATTTCAAAAGAGGATAGTCATTTTTTATCAGACGCTTTGTCATGGACAAACTTTTAAATGAATTCCTTTCCACTGCAAATGCTGCTTCATTTTGTCTTTCCTTTTGATCTAAGATCGTTATTTGTTTTTGTTTTTTGTTTTGTTTTTTTGTATTTACCCATGTTAGATTGAAGAATGGGAGATCTAATTTCCTAGCCTCTACTTTAGATGAAAAGAAGGCTAGCGTTGATGTTAAACTGATTCATTAATTCTAGGATAACTGAGTTGATTCAGAAGCGACAGAGGTCACCATGGCTCTGGCCTGACATTATTTACTTTTTGACGCCATCAGGGAGGGAACACAATTATTGTCTTCAGATTCTTCATAGTTTTACCAACAAGGTGCGTGTTAGAAAGGGTAAATTTTTATCCTGACCTCAAAGCTCTTTTGAATTATTTTTAAGATGGTTGTATTTTCAAGAGGGACGTACTCCTCTAGCAACTACTTATCTGAAACATATGCCACGACAACAATGTATGAGCAGGTAAAAACCAAGTCAAACGATTGAAATAAAAACAACAAATTATCCGATTGGGCTGTGAGGATTTTCGTACCAAAAGGACAGTCAGCGTAACTTCTTAAGTCGTCTTCAATTCTACCCTTATTAACGGTGATATTTCCATGGTAACGATGCAAAACCCCAAGGTCATCGATGAGCGAATCGCTGACAGAGCAGCTAAGAGAAATGATCCACAATCCGAAGAAAATGACACCGAGCAGAGAGGGGAAGGAGAATTTAAAAGTAAGAGGCGGTTGGCTTTCCTTGATTTGCTACTGGAGGCTTACGACAGAGGAGAGATCTCACGAGAAGGCATCAGAGAAGAAGTGGATACGTTCATGTTTGAGGTTAGTGTCACTTTATGACCAGATTCTGAAGGAAGTGGGTGTCATCTTAATCTACCTTGTGGTAGTGCCATACTTAGAAACTTGACCGCTGTATGTCCACCTAGTAGCACCTAAGCATCCCACTATTGGTGATTCCTCATTCCCCACCTGATGTTTTGCGCAGTACAGGATGCTCGGTGCAATACTGAGGAATCTTTATAACACTATTCCCATCTGCTGCCCCAGCAGTTTGTCAGTTTTTCTTGACATTTCTCCTGTACCCATATATACTCTTCACTGTTGGTTCAGTGTAAGGTCATCATTATCCAACCCTTGTCCTCCACCTGGGATCGTTCTGAGACCTGAAGAAATCGCGCGTTAGCTTTTTTCAAGTTGAATGACGCGATGGTGTAGCAGTCAGCTGGTGTGCTTCAAATCTCAAGTTCCCCATCTGAGTCTTTTTGGGGTTATTGTGTGACCAGAGCTTTTTCTTTTTTTCACTATATTTTTCATCCTGAAAATAATTATTTCTGGCAAACTCTAATCCAGGGAATTCCATCAAATTTTCTGGCGATTTTGGGAGGCAGGTTAGAAGGATACTCTGGTAACTCAATCAGGGAGCTACTTCAGATTATTTTTGTTATTTTCAGGGCCACGACACCACAGCCGCTGGATTAACGTGGGCTCTCTATCTACTCGCTCGCCATCCTCATATACAGCAGCAAGTCCACGAAGAAGTAGATAAATTTTTCGGTGAGTATCTCACCCAAGGACTTAAAGGGCACTATGCATTAACTCCTCTCTACCGATTTGTATTCGTGTGGTCTACAAGAACAACGAAGTGCAAATTTACTTACGATATCCATGCGTTGGAGAAAGTTTTGTTCTTGCTCCTTCTTGACTCCAATTTATCATTGTTTATATTGGCGTCCTAATGAACGTTTGCATTGGCAAACCCGTTACCAGGTCCCTCATGGGGGCAAGTTCGCGCGGCCTCGATCTTTGTGTTGAAGAGTCTCGAAAACCTTCGTAAAAGTGTTTACAAACCCTTTTTGGTTCCGTTTTATTGTGCCACAATTGATTTGTCTTGTAAATTGTGATCCATTAACAGAATTTGTTTCAGCCTTTTTGTTATAAGTTACTTATTCATGAGTGATATAATCTTCACGATTAGATAATGACTTCTATGATATTTTTTCACATTAGAACAGCGGCCAGAAACCCTCACGGTAAATGATCTGAAGGATTTGCGTTACTTGGAATGTGTTGTTAAGGTATGGTACGCACAACGTTACATCTTGTGACTTAGATTTTAGCACTATCGCGGTAGGAACGGGGAACGTTGCTATTCGGCTCAGTTGGGGCGAGTGGTTGTTTTGATTGTTTATTCAGTATTTTTTTTTGCTTCATATTTTGTTGTTGTGTCTATTTGTGTTATTATCGTTAGAAGGAAGGATATTCCTACCGGTGGATATAATTAAGCGTTCGTGGAAAGCTCCTTAGTAAAAACCCAGGTTTTTTTTTAAGGCGTGTTTATGTGAATTTATTAGAATAACCATTTGGCCCGCCACTTACGAAGGAGGTCTATATATTGCTCTTTCGAACATCTTGAGCTGGAACTCAGGGCTACGAAGTGTTTTGTCCGTTGAATTGTCTTGTACCGTCCTCCTTCATCCTATGTGTCACTGTTTTTTGGATGAGTTTGCCGGCTATCTTGCCCATATGGTAACGGTGTCAGGCTATTTGCTGATTGTCGGTGACTTCAACTTTCATGTTGATTCTCAAAATAATGCTGGTCTGCGATTTACTGGCCTTCTTCATTCATTTATCCTTCGCCAACATGTAAATGATTCTACGCATAAGAATTTAATTTAATTTAATAATAAGTTCTTATATAGCGCATTAAAATTGAACTCTATGCGCTTTACAATTACAATTAATAAAATTCCAATTAAAATCCTATACATGCAATTATCGCTACTCTATCTAAACTAACGAAGTATTACGTGTTATACATATATTTGACAATGTATGATATCAAAAAATCTGGTGGGTTAATTTATGAAAAGATTAGTTTTCAATAAGCGTTTAAAGGAGTCAACAGATTCAGCGTTTTTTATGCATTCAGGTAGTTGATTCCACAAATACGGTGCAGCGTAGGAGAATGCTCTTTGCCCATACGTTTTAGTTCGAATTGTTGAGACCTCAAGTAGATTCATATTTGATGAACGGAGTCTTCGTGCTGGAATATATCGACTAAGAAGTTCAACAAGATAGATTGGAGCCATGTCA